GGGTCGCCGGGAGCCAGCAGTCTCTTCTTCGATGGCGTTGCCAGCGAGAGCCAGGCCAGCAGCATCCCGCCAGCGTCGCAGTTCAACACCGGCACGGGTGGTACCTTTGACATGGCTCAGGTCTTCGGTGGCAGCACCAACAGCCTCTTTTTGGAGAAGTCTCCCTTCGTGGAAGGACTCAGCTACAACCTGAATGCCATGCAGTATCCCAGCCAGTCGTTCCAGCCTGTCGTCCTGGCCAACTGAACACGAGGAAGGAGAGTATTTTGGGGTGGGGAGGGAGGGGGGGGAAACAAGAACAAAACAAACAAACAAGAGGGAGGAAAAAGAAAAATAGAAATATACAGAAAATATTCAAATCTTATAAATATAGCTTCTTGGGAAAAGAGAGAGCCCAGTGTTGTTGCGCTGTGCTGGCAACGCTCCTGAAGCACTGACTTGTTTTTTAACTCAGTCCCTGTGCTTTTTTCCTACTCACTTTTTTACTCCTTAAATGAGTCTTGGAATTTTCTCGGTTTGTGTTCCCCCTTCCCTCGCCCCAGCCCAGGACTGGTGCAACCATAGGTCGCGATGCTCCTGATTCCCTGCACCCCCTCCCAGCGCTGGACACGGGGCCCTTCCACCTGGGTGTAGGGATGTCGTCTTCGTACCACCTCGCTGGAGGAGGGACACGGGGAGGATGAGTCAGTGTCGGTGCAGACACACACACTCTTGTTGCGTGCTAGCCAGAAATGGGTGGGTGAGCTTGATTTTTCTGTTACGGCTCTGCGTGTAGACGGAGAGCATCTACTGTGCCCACGGGCGTAGACCGTTGTGCTGTTGTTGCTCCAGCCCGGGCTGGCGTCAGCTATTCTGTCTGTCTGCTGAAAAGCACTAACTCTTCTCCTTGACCGCCTCCCAGCACGTAGCAGGGAGGGCAGAGCGTTACTGTGAAATGGCTTCTGCTCCCTTCCTCGTCTGCACTTCCAGCCGCGGCTGCAGGAGGACAAGCGCTTTGAACTGCGTGACTCTGGTTATCGTCCCCTTCTGCGTGTGAGCGAGGGGGCCTTCCCTGTGGTGTAGAAACACCGCCCGCCTGTCGCTGTGGCTGCGGGGGGGGGTGCTGAGCCAGGTGGCCCCATTTGGATCCTGCCCCAGCTTCCTGGACGTTCTCCCCGGCAGCAGGGGCCGGTGTCTACCTGGGGTGGCCTCTGAGGTCTGAGTTCTCATTCCCTGCTCTGAATTCATCTTCTTGTCTCAGAGAGGGAGTTCCTTCATTTTTAGTTAGCGAGGCAGCACTACTTCCGAGGAAGAGAAAGGGCTATGTTGAAGCTGCTATTTTGAGGGGTAGCGTAAGGGTTTGTACTTTGAGCCAGGTATACGCCTGACTAAATCTCCTCCCCTGCCCTTCAGGAGGAGCAGGAGGAGGTGGCTGATTTGGTGCGGAAGGGAAGCGCCTAGCGTAAACTCATCGTTCCAGCCAGATCATGTCAGCATGGATGGCGGCAGGCTTTGAGCAGAGCAGGGACAGGCCTTCCAAAGGCTAGCTGCCGTCCAAGCTTGTGAATGTACAGTGCCTCCCCGCTGCAGGGCTGGGACCTGGGAATGTCCCTGCAGCCTTCCCTGGCATGATGTGCTGCAGTCGGGTGGTAGCGGCTTTGCAGCTGGGTCGCTTCTGCATCAGGGACTCCAAAACCCACCTTCACGGGAAGCCGAAGGAGGGCTGCTCCTTGCCCAGGCAGGGTGGAGGCTCTGTAGGTGGGAAGGAGGTCTCCTTGGAGGCTGTTGTGGGAGTACAGAAGCGTGCAAAGTGGAGAGAGATGGAGATGATGAGACTCCAGTCTTTGAAGTTCTCAGTTTAAAAGGAAAATAAGCTTTTTGCTGCCTCCCAAACTTGAGGTTTGGTTTTCTTTTAATGATGTCTCTGGAGCACCCTCTGAAACCCACTTCTCCTATATCTGTGCTCTTTCGAGATATCCCTGTTTCAGGGGAGATGGGCTTGAACTTCTGCTTTTCCTGCTCCCTTCCTTCGAGCTGAGACAAAGGCACTCCAGCCCTCTTGTAGTTGTGTTGCCAATGAGCCTTTGCAGAGGTAGCGGAGCTGCCCCAGGGAGACTGCCACTGCCCGGAGCTCTTTCAGCAGAGTTTCCAGCGCACCCTTCCCCTCGCTGGGGGTTTGGGGGAGTTACGGTCCCAACCTCGTGCCCAGTGTGGGTTCCCGAGCAGGCTGCTTGCCATCAAGCTACGACCAACGTGGCGAGTGGGCGAGGAGAGCGGAGCCCAGCTAGCTTCCCCCAGACCGGCACCCGCAGCCTCAACCCTGCAGGTTTCCAGATGAGGACAAACTGCTGAGGAAGGGACAAGCTGTTGGGTTTCCTTTTAATTTTATTTTTTTTTGAAACCCCCCCCCCCCCCCTTACAAATGTTACCACTGCCATCCCATCCTTATCCCGGGAGTGTGCTGAGTGCCAGCCCGCTTGCCACACTGGACTTGAGGGGTGCTCAGCCCCTGATGGCAGGACCCGGTCCAGTTGCTCCCCACTGTCCCCGCATCTGGCAGAGCCACCCGCGAGCCGCTGCCGCGGGACAGCGTGCTTTCCTCCGGTGCAGGGAGGGAGAGGAGAGGTGGGGACGCCCCCCAGCCACCCGCTTATGTGTGTGAAGCTTTGATGCCACTTTGCCCTGCCACACGTATTAAACCTGCTTTAAAAATCGCGGTGTGAGTGGAAGGAGGTGAAGAGGAGGGACCAACCTCTTTGTGTCTTGAAAGGAAAAAAGCGTGCTTCAGAAACGTTCCTCCAGTGTCAGGCGGCAATGGAAACTAATGGCCTTTTCAGGTCTTTTCTAGTCTTGGATGTAGGCATTCAGCTTCAATTTTATTTTTTAAAAACCTGCACTAATTCACCTGGTTTCTTAGGAAGAGAAGAGAGAAATTTTTTTTTTTAACTTTTATTTTTTATGGGTTTGTGTTCTTTTTGTTGATGTCCGTTTGTATTGAATAATTTGCTACATTTGTAAAATGTAAGAGGTATATATAATATATGTATATTTCTAACGTAAAAAAAACTGTAATTTTTTTCTTTTCAAGATTTTTTCTTAAAAAGAGGAGAGAAAAAAATATTTTTTCAGGAAAAAAACTTTAAAAAAAAATAAGTGGTGAAGATTCCTTTCTCCCTACTCAGCCTCCCTCCTTTCCCTCCCGCCCCTCTCTGAGGAGTGAATCGACAGTTGCCTTGTGGGAGAGGAGTGAAAGAGGACAAGTCTGTATGTCTCCGAGCGGAGGGTTTCTGTGTGTGCTCTGCTTGGGTTTCTTTCTGAGAAGGGGGCTACTGAGAAGGGGAACCAGGGGGTTGCTGTCTTTTTTTTTTTTTTTTTTGGGTCTTTTTTTTTTTCCTTTAGCGAAGGAGGAATACAATCAAGAGTTTTGTATTCAGAATGTTGTGCAATATTTTGGAACGGGACATTGGTGTGTCTAGAGATTTAGTTAAAAACAAAACAAACAAAAAAAAAACAAAAACAAAAAGGTTGATCAAATCTGTACAGTTTCTATTGTTCCAGATTTTTTTAAGTTTGTATTAAAAGCATGATATAATAACTGGTTGTCGTGTGGTGTGTGCTCAGTGGGGAGAGAACACCTCAGCCGTGCCTTTTCTGGGTGAGGAGGGACCCGGCTGCCTATCCTGCCCACCTTCGGATGATCCGGTGCTTGAATCTTACTCTTGCCGGCGAGGCCGCTGGTTTGCAGCGCGCTCGGCGGAGGGTTCGTGGGTTGGGAATAGCCTGGTGCTGCCTGGCCTTGTGCACCGTGCCGAGGGCAGCTGCTGAGGATGGCAGCGGCATGGGAAAAAGCGGCGGTGTGCCTGACCTTCCCGGGTGCTGCCGTGATTCAGCTCCCTGGGGAGGCTGGGGGGAGCTGGCTCTCCTCCCGAAGGGAGAGGAGGGAGGGGGACGCTTTGCCTATGGCATGTGGTGCTTTGGGGGCCTTCAGTCAATCAGCAGAGTTCCTAAAATACCCGGCTTTGGTGGCAGCTTGCCAGGGCCCGTGCCTGAAGCCATTGCCTGGGGGGCTGGCTGGGATCTGTCTGGTGTCATCGCAGAGGGTAGATGGAGCCTTCCCAGGCAGGGTTTCTGCAAGAGGGGCTGTTGTTTGTGGGTTGGTTTCTTCCCTCTCCGCCTGCCCCTCACCCCCTCCAGGGGCTGCAAACCAGTTTGGGTTTATTCTGGGGCATCTGGGATATTTGCTAAGCAAAGGGAGCCTGGAGGTGCTGTGCAGGCCATGCCCTCCTTACTGTGAATGTTCATCCAAGGTGACTGCTCGTAGCAGGGTGGGCTTGAGGCTGGATGTGAGAACAAGCAGTGATGATGAAGGTCTGATCTTGTTTCCTTCTAACCCCTCATTGCTCAGCTTCAATCAGAATTTCAGTGGGAAGGAGCTGCTCCTCTTCAGCAAAATGAGATGAGATGGCCCCTCTAAGCTGAGGAAGCTGCTGTTGGGCTCCATGTGTGCTGGACAGCTGTGTGACCCAGCCTCACCGCCCTCCTGCTGCCTCCTGCTTTAGGGGGAGGCTCCTAGCTCCCTGTGCCACCTCCTTAAAAAGCTGTTGAAGGGAACTGCTTTGAATGTACTTGAGGAAACGAAATGTGGAGCTGGTGCTGGCTGCTGGCTCCTGCTAACGTCCCTACCCACGCCCCCTCAGCCCCTCTAGCCTGAATTTCTTCCTAGAAGAGCTCGGGCTGCTTTGCCCTTGGCTTTGCAAGCCCCAGGAGCTGGGCTGCTGCTCACGCCTGCTGCGTGCCCTGTGACTGTCACACTCTGCTAAGCAGCGAAACTATTTTTTCCCCTTTGTCTCTCAAACCCCTTGTAATCATTTATCTAAAGAACGCACAAACTCTTGCCCTTAGACACGTTTCTGGAAATGGAAAATCGAGGGCGAGTATGTGCCTTCCTGATCCTTGCCCTGCATTTGCTCGGCTGTGACGTAGGGAGGCACGGAGCCTTTCCCTTTTTGGGCACAGGTACGCCGAGCGGTAGGGCCTGGAGTTAGTTTACAGCCGATAGCTGGGCAGCCTGAGCAGGGATTAGGGAAAAGGCTTAGTATAGCCTCCTTCCTCCCAAGGTATTGGCCTCTGTGCCATCTTGGGGAGCCTGAAGGGGTTGGGGAGGTGAAACACCCCCCTGGAAGCAGTGTGCGGGGACAGGGATCTGCCCTTCATCAGAGAGGAAAGGATGTGCTGGAGCCCCGTGCTCGGCTGGTGCAGGGTGGTGC